GCAGGTGTGATAAGATTTAGGAGGTATATTTTTCTTTAATATTTATCAGATTTTTTCTTCTTCTTTTCTCTTTTGTGTTTTGATGAATGTTAAATTTTAAACTTTGAATGATGTGTGTTTATGTTAATGGCAAGTATGTGTAAGATATTAATGATATAGATTCAAATTGTCAATAGAAAATCTTTGATTACAGTGTTTCCTAATAGTAACAGTAATAATGATAATAGCATAGTATATTATTGGATTGCCTTTTTTTTATATATCTAATTTTCAAGAATAATTGCCTTTAAAAAACTGTGGAAGTGAATATAAGAATTGAGAAGATGATTCCAGGTATACTTTTGATCATAAGCACAGTTCTGTTTCTTAAAAGTTTTTAGATATGAAGTATTTAACAAACAGGGAGCAAACTCCTGTCATGTTTCATATAGTGCCTTTATTTTTGTTATGTCTCAAGTCTGGGCTAGATTAAAAGTATTTTCTTATGGAGTGATACATATATGTATAAATATATATTAGTTCAAGAGAATATATTAAGGTATTTAGGTAATTCACATTTTCAGGCATTTCGCTCAGAAGAAGGACAAGAAGTGTCAGGTTTTCGTCCTGATCATGTTCTCCTGGAGACTACCTTTAACTACCCAATTATCCACCTGGCTGTGGGAAAGTTTGTCTCGTAAGTTATGCCTTGAGGTCTGCCGTTCGTGAATGTGTTGATAAAATGGAGTTATTATTAATTTGTGAAATGAGATTTATGTTATCATCCTGTATCTATCTGATATTGAATATATATTTTGTTTGATTTGTCTCTGCAGAATATGAAGTATATTTGTATAGTTCTTATGTGTTAGCTATGGTGTTATAGATTTTAAGACCGTAAAAAGACAAATTTATGGATAAGATCTCATACTTACATGACATGTGAATATGATTTATATATATGTATATATATATATATATATATATTTTTTTTTATACAGGAGCAATGACTTGCTACACCTTTGTGTCTTACATCCTGACCGAATGGCAGTGTATACCCTGACAGTCACCTCTGGCCAGGGTGGTCATGGGGACAGCTCCAAGCTCAGTGTGGCTTACCAACACAAGTTCCAGCGTCATGCACATTCCCTCACTACAGGTAAGGATGATTGGCATTGGCTAAGCTGCTTCAATGAATCTGTGAGAAGCTTATTGATAGTGAGACTGTCTTGTTTGTGTGAGGCACTGATATCTTTGTTTGTCTGATTTGTATGCTTTGTCTTATTAAGAGGATACCCTTAGTTGGTATGAATGTTGGAAGATTTCTGTAGTGTAGTGGATGTGATAAGAATTTCTTTCACTACTTTAAAATAATTTGTTTTTTTTCACCCTTATTTCCATATTTACTCTGAAAACTATACAAATGCATCTTGATTGTTTTTCATTTTCTTTATAGGTCCTTTTGGTGGTGTCAAAGGGAAAGACTACATTGCCGTGCAGTCACTTGATGGCTGCATCACAGTTTTTGAGCAGGAGAGTTTTGCCTTCAGTAGCTTCTTGCCGGGATTCCTCCTTCCAGGACCTCTGGTCTATGTTGCCAAGTCCGACTCCCTGATCACAGTGGGGTCCGACTGGTCACTCCAGTGTTACAAGTATGCAGTGTTTCATGTATTTCTATTTTTTGTTCATGTATTTTTATATCATTATCATTATGTTTTTTATAGTTATATTTTTATAATGCCAAGTCTGCTATACTGAAAGAAGTATGTGTGCTTACCAGGAAAGTGAAATTTATGCAGATAGAAAATGTACAAATGATTTTGACAAGTTATCAGAACTTTCCACTTATTTGTGGCCTTACACTATTTATATGGAATTTAGTATCAGCTTATTGATTCAGTGATATTATCATCTAGTTTTAAGACTGTGCTTTAATGTATGTGTTTGTACTCCTCCTCATTCTCCTCCTTGTTATCCTCCTCCTCTCATACTCCTTATTTTTAGGTATCAGGCAGTGGCTGTGGCAACAGACAATGAGAAGGAAATGAGCAATAATAAAACTGGAGGGAGACGGTTGACGGCAGAGTGGACGAGACAGTTAGGGGAGCCTGCCTTGGACATTCTGGTTATCAACCCCCCAGAAGGGCCCACAAACATCCTCATCCTCACCCATCATTCAATCTTCTGCTATAAGGAATCAGGAGTGTTGAAGTTTGTAAAGAAGTTGGAGTACAATCCATCCTGTTTTACTGCATATCTCATGGGTAAGTGTGTCCACGATGTAGCTGATACTTTAGATACCATCTGAAGTTTTCTGTCTACTGTAGTTTCTGATTACTTTTTCCATTCATACTTGTATTCTTATTAGAAAAGTGTATACTTAAGATGTGTATTTTTCTCACAGAAAATGCAGTCTATCTTTGTGTTGCTACGCATACACAGACCTTGCTTGTGTACAAAGAAGCTGAGTTGAAGTGGGCATCGCAGTTACCATTTACACCTGTTGTGCTTTCTAGAGCTGATTTTCCGGTAAGAATATAATATTTCTGTTCTCTGTGTTGGGCGTGTATACTCATTCTGGATGTTTTTGAAGTGTTTGAATCTTTATTAATGTGTGTCAGGGGGTTTGTGTTTTTGCCAGGCAACATATTTTTAAACTTGTATATATTTGTTTTCAAATGTGAGTTGACTGCTCTAGACTAGAGTGAAAACTATATACTGGGTATTAGGCTATCATTAGGAAAAGGTATTTTCTTTCTCTTCGACTGATCTTACTAATGTAAACTGTGTTTTTCTAATGGGTGTTTATAATGGAAGTTTACTCTTTTTCCTTCTCTCAAGAGTTGAACATATATATAAATTAATTATCTGTTTTGCAAAATCCTTGCTTATCTTTATTGATAGAGAGAACACTTATAAACATGATGTAGAGAACTTGATGTTTTTTTTTTATAGTTTAATCATTTGAATTACTTTTAAATTACTAGATGTAATGATCTTAGCACATAAATCTTATATATGTTTATCTGTTTTCTCCATTCATAACTTTTCTTCTTTTTATGGATCTTGGTAATTTTAGTGTTTGTATCTTGGTAATTTTCTGTGTGTTAGCATTCTCGCTTATCCTTTTATGAAAAATCTGTACATGATAAGAGGATATTTTAAAATTCAAAGTACGAAGCATTTTAGAGTTTTGTTTCAGCAGATACATTTATTCCATACTTTTTAAAATTACATTTATAACATGGAGAATAAGCAACTAAATGGATAGGTCTAAATTGCATTGCTGTGCAAATGATTTTTAATAGCATTATTCATTAGTAACTATAGAATAAGGTGATTATATATACACCGTGTACAAGTGTTCAAGCATTGATATATTTTTATAACATACAGGGTCCTCGTTTCTTAAGGGTAAGAGGTTAAGCAAGAAACTCTAATAATTCTTGATACTCACACTCACACTCACACTCACACTCACACTCACACTCACACTCACACTCACACTCACACTCACACTCACACTCACACTCACACTCACACTCACACTCACACTCACACTCACACTCACACTCACACTCACACTCACACTCACACTCACACTCACACTCACACTCACACTCACACTCACACTCACACTCACACTCACACTCACACTCACACTCACACTCACACTCACACTCACACTCACACTCACACTCACACTCACACTCACACTCACACTCACACTCACACTCACACTCACACTCACACTCACACTCACACTCACACTCACACTCACACTCACACTCACACTCACACTCACACTCACACTCACACTCACACTCACACTCACACTCACACTCACACTCACACTCACACTCACACTCACACTCACACTCACACTCACACTCACACTCACACTCACACTCACACTCACACTCACACTCACACTCACACTCACACTCACACTCACACTCACACTCACACTCACACTCACACTCACACTCACACTCACACTCACACTCACACTCACACTCACACTCACACTCACACTCACACTCACACTCACACTCACACTCACACTCACACTCACACTCACACTCACACTCACACTCACACTCACACTCACACTCACACTCACACTCACACTCACACTCACACTCACACTCACACTCACACTCACACTCACACTCACACTCACACTCACACTCACACTCACACTCACACTCACACTCACACTCACACTCACACTCACACTCACACTCACACTCACACTCACACCCACACTCATACCCACACTCATACCCACACTCATACCCACACTCATACCCACACTCATACCCACACTCATACCCACACTCATACCCACACTCATACCCACACTCATACCCACACTCATACCCACACTCATACCCACACTCATACCCACACTCATACCCACACTCATACCCACACTCATACCCACACTCATACCCACACTCATACCCACACTCATACCCACACTCATACCCACACTCATACCCACACTCATACCCACACTCATACCCACACTCATACCCACACTCATACCCACACTCATACCCACACTCATACCCACACTCATACCCACACTCATACCCACACTCATACCCACACTCATACCCACACTCATACCCACACTCATACCCACACTCATACCCACACTCATACCCACACTCATACCCACACTCATACCCACACTCATACCCACACTCATACCCACACTCATACCCACACTCATACCCACACTCATACCCACACTCATACCCACACTCATACCCACACTCATACCCACACTCATACCCACACTCATACCCACACTCATACCCACACTCATACCCACACTCATACCCACACTCATACCCACACTCATACCCACACTCATACCCACACTCATACCCACACTCATACCCACACTCATACCCACACTCATACCCACACTCATACCCACACTCATACCCACACTCATACCCACACTCATACCCACACTCATACCCACACTCATACCCACACTCATACCCACACTCATACCCACACTCATACCCACACTCATACCCACACTCATACCCACACTCATACCCACACTCATACCCACACTCATACCCACACTCATACCCACACTCATACCCACACTCATACCCACACTCATACCCACACTCATACCCACACTCATACCCACACTCATACCCACACTCATACCCACACTCATACCCACACTCATACCCACACTCATACCCACACTCATACCCACACTCATACCCACACTCATACCCACACTCATACCCACACTCATACCCACACTCATACCCACACTCATACCCACACTCATACCCACACTCATACCCACACTCATACCCACACTCATACCCACACTCATACCCACACTCATACCCACACTCATACCCACACTCATACCCACACTCATACCCACACTCATACCCACACTCATACCCACACTCATACCCACACTCATACCCACACTCATACCCACACTCATACCCACACTCATACCCACACTCATACCCACACTCATACCCACACTCATACCCACACTCATACCCACACTCATACCCACACTCATACCCACACTCATACCCACACTCATACCCACACTCATACCCACACTCATACCCACACTCATACCCACACTCATACCCACACTCATACCCACACTCATACCCACACACACCCACTCACACTCACACTCACACTCACACTCACACTCACACTCACACTCACACTCACACTCACACTCACACTCACACTCACACTCACACTCACACTCACACTCACACTCACACTCACACTCACACCCACACCCATACTCACACTCACACTCACACTCACACTCACACTCACACTCACACCCACACTCACACTCACACTCACACTCACACTCACACTCACACTCACACTCACACTCACACTCACACTCACACTCACACTCACACTCACACTCACACTCACACTCACACTCACACCCACACTCATACCCACACTCATACCCACACACACCCACTCACACCCACACCACACCCACACCCACACCTGTACCCACAGACATAGCCACACCCACAATTACACCTACAACCATACCTACACCTACACCAACACCCACACCAACACCCACACCTACACCCACACCCACACCCACACCTACACCCACACCCACACCCACAACTACACCCAAACCCACACCAACACCAACACCCACACTTACAACCACACCTACACCCACACTAACACCTGTACCCACAGTCACAGCCACACTCACACTCATGCTCATTCTCATGCCCACATTTCACACTCACATTCACACATTCACACGCGTCATACCCACACTTTAAATATTTCTTCTCCGTAATTGGCAAAACCCCAAGTGTTCGGGACAAATGCTGTAACTCTGATTAAATTTAGATTTAGATCCTTTTGTTTATGTAAAGGTGGTAGATGAGCATGGGTGCCTTTTGTAATGTTAAGGTGCGCAGAACTTTATTTGTCTTCTTATTGCTTTGTCATTATTATTATTGTTATTATTATTATTATTATTATTATTATTATTATTATTATTATTATTGTTATTATTATTATTATTATTATTATTGTTATTATTATTATTGTTATTATTATCATTATCATTATCATTGTTGTTCCTGTAATTATTATTATTTTCGTGATTATTGTTATTATTATTATTTATTACTATTATTGTTATTACTATTATTATTATTATTATTATTATTATAATTATTATTATTATTATTATTATTATTACTATTATTATTATTATTATTATTATGATTATGATTATGATTATGTTTATTATTACTATTATTATTATTATTATTATTATTATTATTATTATTATTATTGTTATAGTAGTTATTATGGTATTATCATACTTGTAAACTTTGGTTTGAATAAATAGACCACATGTTTCTCATGAAAATCAAAATGTTTTAACAGAGAAATGTAACTTTTATTGCTTCAAGTGTCTCATCCCTTTAAAAATTGAATAATAATATTTTTCATATGATAGTAGGTTGTGTTGAATAAGATATTTATTTTGATTCCTTTATATGCAACATTGTTTCCGAAATAAGATCACATTTTCTAATTTGTGTTTTGCTCTCAGGGCATCAAAGGTGCTCTTGTTTTTCTCGGAGATGCTGGGCAGCTGCAGGCATCTTATCTCGGAACAGATCCCTCCCTCTTCGTGGCTCCCCCTGCCGAGACGAGGGAAATTAACTACGACCAGACTGACAAGGAGTTAGCTCAGCTTCATAAGATCATAAAAGCATCCACCAAGGACACAGGTATAGAAGTCTTCGTACTTTGTCCAGTATTGGGAGTTCCAGGGGTTTGAGTCAAGGCAGTGAGTTCAAAGTCTGGTTTGGAGAGAAAATAGATGTAAAAAGGTAAATGGATTAAGAATGAAAGAAAGAAAAAGAAAAAAGGATAGATGAAAAGGAAAAGATAGATAGATGAATATATAGATAAAAGAATAAATAAATAGATAAATGAATAAATAAATAGATAAATTGGTAAGTGAATAAATAGATTAATAAATAAAAGATAAATAAATAAATAAGTGAATGTAGTAGAGACAGATTAGTAGATACACTGCTAGGAAATGTAATTCGACGGTCAGAAATGTTTTTCTGTGATGAAGTGTTACCCATTACATAAATTTTGTCTTCTCTTAGGCACACTAGTTGGAATGAATCGAGGAGATGGCGATCTCATCGTATCAGGAACCGTAGGAACACAGCTGGAAAAGTGGCCGGGCTCGACAAGGGTCCAGGACATCGACGGGGGCGTACCGGCAGTCCCGGTTGTGATTCGGCTCACTGCTCACACACCCCTCAACACCGTCCGAGTCAATATCGCTGTGGAGAAGCCGCTGACCGTTACACAAGACACGTTTGTTCTTCGGACGATATGTGAGGCCTTGTGCTGTGTACTCCTTTCTTTTTTCGTACTTGATTATGTTGTTTGTTTTGTATCTTCATTTATTTATTCATTTGAGTAGAGATACTGTGAATAGATTTCCACGGAAAGCTTGTTTTTACTCTGCAATTTTATAAATTCTCTTCAATTTTTTAATTTTTATTTTACTTTAATCATATTTTTAAATAATTTAATGCCAACAGGTGATACAAGTCAGATAATGGTGAAATTCTACCTTGCTGATCAGTACATTCCCACAAGCTTGTCTGTGGGCATTGTTACATCTTACATCACTCATACTGGAGCACCAAGAATCATCACTACAAATGTAAGTCAGATATTCTCGTTAAGGAAGTTTTGCACATAGATTATACTAAAAGGATGAGACATATGTGTTTAAAACCTTCATGAATTAATTGAGTCATATTGATAAATGAATTCAAATATAGTGACAAATAAATGCCCAACAGCTGGATTTGCCTCTGAGGTTGGTGGCCAAGCTCAGTGCTCCAAACAAGGAGGCCGACCACAAAATCACAATATCAACGAACAAACCAGCTGTTAATCTGCCGGAATTGTTTCCAGGTAAGTTTGAATACAATAGATTCAGATGTATACTGTGCATTTAGAAAGTTTTCCATATTAGTGTTTATCATATTGTCAGGCCAGTAGAAAATAATAATTCATAGTTATTTCTTATAAAAACAATGCTTAGGAATGTACATGGCTCTCTTCACCAATATAAGTTAGTGTGAGATTATGTGTTATGTATATATTTTTTTGTTTTATGATGTAGATTTTCTGAATGGATGCAAATATTATTGTGTAAGGATATTGTAGTGAAGAGCTAGGAAAATAATATTTGCTTTATATGTAAAGAGTTTTTGGGTCACTAATATGAAGCATCCTTTTACAAATTTTTTTTTTGTTGATATTGTTTTTTTATAGTGATGCATTTAGGCTGATCTTCGTATTTGTTTCAGATTATAGCTTAGATGGAAGTGTGACGACAGCTCTTGGTCTTCAGTACTTCGGGGGCCCCAGTGTGACCATACTCTCATCTCGAACCACGAACAGATATCGGTTACAGTCGGACAGGTTTGTCTTTTGGGGTTTTGGATTGTATTAGATTGTAAAGTAATTATCCAGTGTCTGTTAAAGTGTAATTTTAAGGAGTTGGAATTGTTTTTGTTAAAGACTTTTATTTGTAGGATGAAGAAAATGTAATGTTTAGATGATATAGAAAGAGTCGCCTGAATTTTAAAAAACTTACTGATAATGTTTTCCCATTTTTTCAAAATAGTCTGCCCTCTGTGTGGGTGATACTCAGTGAGGTAGTAAGAAGACTGAAGAGCTATTGGGGTCACTCAAGCAGAAAAGATGGGGAGGAACTTGTGCTGGGTGTTGCGTCGTCACTTCCCATCAGTGAGCTCTTCTGCGAAATTGATGCACATTTCCTGCGCAGGAAGAAACATGAAGAGTTGATGGTAAGAGTAAGGCCTGAGATCAGAGAGATGTGGCAGAAACTTTGTTTTGTAAGCACATATCTCATCTTGGGTGTCGTGTTTGATATGATACATAACATACATTTTTGCAAAATTATCACATTTTATACATTTATCAGCAAAGACAGAAAGAAAACTTCATCAATGTATTTAACTTCTCACAGTTCATTTTTCATATATTTTATTTCTTTTTACCAATCCACAGGGTCAGCTGGTGCAGAGAGCCACTCAGTTCCGCGCAGTTCAGAGACGTCTGTTGACAAAGTTCAAGGACAAAACGCCAACTCCTCTGACAAACCTTGATAATCTCTTAGAGGGAACCTATAAACAGATCTTGCAGATTACGGATGTTATCAACGATAACATTAGGGTGAGGATGTGAAGGTTGAATTAGCTGATAGTATTACAGGATTTCTAAGTTTTATTCATAGTTTTAATGAGTAAATGTTTTTGCAGTTTTGTTAATCTCTGAAATTTATCAACATTATATAAAAAATTGTTAATGTGTTTTCTCGTTTCCTCAGCATCATTTTTTATGTGTGTGTGTGTGTGGGGGGGGGTTATTAGTATAGCATTATATTATATCATATTCCAATACTTATTTCTGGTTATGCATTGTATGACCTGCATCATTTGAAATACTGTATTCTATTTAGAAATAACTTTGAATTATTATTGAGGATATTGATAAAAAGAGTTAGTTCCTTTTTACTTTCTTAGGGCTTAGAAGAAGATGGCTGCCAATTGAGTTGCGCAGTAAGACTGATCTTGGAGCTCGTCCGCCTGTCTGTTGGCATGTCCGATCAGCACTTTGCCCTTCTTTCCGCTGCTATATCACCTATAGTCCATACTTCTATGGATCAGGTAACGTGCTTTGGGTCTCGCATCTGCTTAAATGAGATGATGGAGAAAGTAGTTTATTGTTACAGCAGTTTAAGTGAATTTGTTGCCTCTGTTGTATGATTCAGTTCCATGTTGAGAATGATTTTATTTCATGGTTAAAAGTGATTTTCAAATAATTTAAGGAAGATGCTGTACTTCCATTGAAGAATTTACCTATTCCTTATTATCATTTTCTCAGGGCTGGGAGGAGGCGACTGATGCTAGTGTAACCTTCTTGCTGAGAACTGTGTTGGGCAAAGGATCCAGGGACGCCGCGGTGGCTCCAGAGCTCACAATGCCATCCGACACGTCAAAGCTGAAGAAGCATTTGGATCTGCTGCTGAATAAGATCATGAAGGGAGGCGTTCAGCTCGCCATTGATAATTCTGGGTCAACCAACAACACAGGTGGCTTATATTATCTTCCTGAGGATGATGTTTACTCTTAATTTTCAGTTTGATTTGTTTAGTTTTTTTCCTCTTCTTTTAGCTCTTGTTTTGATTTTAAGACTTTGAGTTGAGATGTTCCTGATTTGTCAGATAGTTTTTGATTGGATCACTGATTTATTTTCTCTCAAAACGGTAAGAAAATGAAGAAAAGTAATGATTGAGATCGGTTGGCTTGATGCTTAGCAATTGTTTCGTCTTGATAATTTACCTCTTTTATTTCCAAAGCTTTCTGCCCCAATTTGAACACAGAACTTTTAAATTGTGTTGTAATTAGATAGATTAGAGAACTTGCTGAAATGATGTGAACATAATTGATATTTAAGCATAATGTACTTAGCGACAAATTGCCAGTTGTTCAGTGGTATTATTTATATTCCCCAGACACCCATAAAGTGATAAACTCGGACGAGGAGGAGGACTACGTGAACTCTAAATCTGTGGGGAAAGTTGCACAGAAAAAGCAAGACGAAGAAAACGAGACAGACATTCCCTTGGGCAGCAGGCTAGGGGAGGATCGCGCGAGGTCGGCCAGGATCAGATCCGCCCGCCTCATGTCTGCACGCAAGATTTCTCAGCGGAGCCCAGGAGATGGGGGTTAGTTGTAGAGCTCTCTAGGTTAAAGAATAAGAAAGGAAAAGATTGATTTAATTTTTAAGATTTCTGTTGAAGTAAAATGTCTTTTGATCATAATGGTATTTGATAAAACAATTTTTCTTGTTTTATATAAACATAAAGGTATCATTTGATGATTTTAATCCAGCTCTAGGCATTTTTTTTGTGTAACAGTATAACTTCTATGCATCAGGAAATTTGTTACTCTCTCTCCAAGTATTCTGTTACTCTATTTCCAAGTAATGTACAATGTAATTATTTCTTAAACAAAGATTGTAAAATTAGATGCTACTTTTTGATCATGGAATATATTGACCTATTGAATACTTTATAATTCACTTACTTTGATATAACTAAATGACTACTTGGAGTTAGTTTACTGACTAGCAGAATGCACATATATTTAGCTGTCATGAACATGCATAAGAAAAAAATGTAAGTAAAGATAGATATATTGATCCATATTATTTCCATGAAACAGAATCTGTCACCATGATGGAGGGATCTTCAAACAACCCAATATATAATGAAGATATTGAAGACCGAGACAGTCCCGTAAACAGCTCATCATTCCCGGAAGACCAGAACAGCCTAGAAAACTTCCCCGAAGAAGAAAGCATGGAGAAGAACGAAGAGGAATCACAAGAAGAGGAGAAGAATGACGAGGAATCCCCAGTGGAAGAGAAAAACGAAGAGGAATCCCCGGAGGAAGAGAAAAACGAAGACGAGAAGTCCGTGATGGAATTCTCCGAAGTTCCTTTCAACGGAAGCATCGAAGCGCTCAAGAAGGAGACTATGAAGGAGAACCTGATAGAGAGTCCAGCCGACATTTTTGCAACAGGGGACGTGGATGATATTTGGTGATTTTTTTATATTTCATTTTTGCTCTAGTCGGATAAGTTATATATATATATATGTTTTCAAGCAGAGTAAATGATTAAGGTATGTGTATTTTTAGTAAGGAGATTGTTATATGGGCTATGTTTTCAAATTGTGAAATTGACATATCCAGTTTACACAGTTGCTGCACAAGAATCACTGCACAGTAGGGAGTTTTACTTTAGATAGTGCTGAAATAATTAATGCAATTAGTTAACCTTATTAATTTTGTACATATCTATCTATATGCATATATATGTATATATATATGTGTGTATATATGCACACATTTATATATATATATATATATATATATATATATATATATATATATATATATATATATATATATATATATATATATATATATATATATACACAATTTATTTATTTATTTACTGTATTTTATAAGTCATATACAATTCCTTACCTGTTGATGTATAAAATCTTTCTCATTCACTCTCTTCATTAGTGAGATTACTTCACAAATACACAAAGGCATAGTAATGATTATGTGTATGCATATGTATATGTATATGTATAGGAAGGATATCCAATCAGGCAAGGGTGACACAGCCATATAACCTCTCGATAAGTGAATTGAGAGAGGCCTATGTCCTGCAGTGGAAAAAATGGCTGTAGAAAAAAAAATGTATATGTATAATGTATATATATATATATATATATATATATATATATATATATATATATATATATATATATATATATATATATATATATATATATATATATATATATATATATATATATATATATGACATGCTAATCATACAGTGAATGAGAAGATGCTTTAGATGGTAATACATTAGCACTGTATATTCCCTCAGTCTGATGTGCAATTCAGGAAAAACACTTGTTGTAATGTTGTTTCTGTAGTCTAGTCATAAAGTACTGTAAGCCAAAGAACAGAATATTTTCAATGCGTAACGAGACAAGTGCGTTTGTGATTTATTCCGTCCATCTTTTATCAGGGTCTTGTACTGTGGCGGTTTTTGGGAAAATGGAGGGAAGGAACTGCATCACTGCAAGCTTTCATGTAGCAGTATAATAATAATAGTTAAGAAAAAAAATAATTAAAGGAATAAAATACTAAAGGAAAACATTTAATATCAACTGCAAAACATTAATTTTTTGTAAGTACTTCACTGAGTTCCCTCTCCTTTCCAATACTATTGTTTATCAGTGGCTGATTAAACTTAAAGTATTCAAAACAACTCATGCAGTCAATTTTGCCAATAGTGACACCGCCCACACATTTATTTTTGACTTGTTTAAAGGAGAATTGTAAAAAAATGCAGTGATAAATATTTAGAAAATAACATGTCAAGACTTTTTATTATGATATATTTTCTTTGTCGCGTATTGTGTTAGTGAGAGGGTGATGGAGTGAGCATCTTAGGGGGCTGCATCTCGGCTCCAGTGGGTGAGCCGGCGCTGGTCGTGCGTTTACCTTTTCCGTCCAAATGCCTTAAGATAGGGGTTTCTAAATCAGCTTTGGTATGCTTGTTCATACGTCATCCTTTTCTTCAGATTAGAAATGTGCTTTTAGATGTATGTTTAATTCAGATTTTTATGGAGAAAATATTGATATATTTTCATTTTCATTACTGTTATGATTATTATTGTCATTGTCATTATCATTAACATTACTATCATTGTTAGCAGTATTGTAATTATTAATTTTATTACTATTATCATTATCAATATTATTATTATTATTATCATTATTATTATTATTATTATTGTCATCATCATCATTATCATGATTATCATCATCCTTAGTATATTATCACATCCATATTTTTTCTTCAAATCCCTTTGAAAACCTAGTCTCATTTCCTATCTACAATGCAAGTTAAGAGTAAACAGGTACATGTGATAATATAAAAACCCCTCTAGTCCTGGCGCTGAATGGAGAACAACTGCAATAATAATCATGTTAAGAATGTTTTTTTTTTATGAGTGCTTCTATATTTTGACAGTTTCAGTGTATGTTAATGTCACTTGTATGTTTGTGTTTTCATCACCTTTGACACAAAAATAATGCTTTTAATGGAATACCTAGATGTTTTTTTATCCGTTAGAAGGATATATTTATTTATTTTTTTTAACTGCAGAAATAGGTATGGATAAGTGTTAATGCCTGCAGGCTCAAATATAAGTAATCAAGATGCACAAAACACCTATTTCTTGCAAGTTGGAAATTATGTGTATTTATAAAAAAAAAGTTAATTGTAAATATGCAGGTATTGTAAGGTAAACTTTGGATGGCTATTATGAGGAATTTTATGGTAAGAATGCAATGTGAAAGGTTACAATGCAGCATTTTGTTATGTACTTTAAATAAGGTTGATTTTGAATAATTTTATTTTTGTGTTATTTATTTATTTTTTTTCTGGAAATGGAGTCAGATTATGTATTTTTGTTTGTACTGTTGCAGAAATAAGATCTTGCAATCCCTTTGGTTGATGTATGATAATCAGAGGAACAAACATGGTAACAATACTGTATCTTATGTGTCATTTTTTTTGTTTATATTGTTTTTTTTTCTCTACTTAATTTATACTTTAACATTCCGTGTTCTATTCAGATACTTGATTATAAGAAATTCAATCCCTAAGAGTGGGCTTGAACCAATCATGATAAAATAAGATAATGGTCATTTGGTTTATATATTAGCGCTGTCCTACGAAACCATGGAAGAGCTATAATGAGAATAAGAC